ATTTGCTGTGTAAAAAATTACCATAAATTTACTGGCTTAAAATAGCGTGTACTTATTATCTCAGTTTATGTAGATTATAAATCCAGGCAGGCTCTGCTGGGTTCTCTGCTTAGGGTCTCACAAGATCAAAGTCAAAATATCAGCTGAGCTGGGTTCTTATCTGGAGGCTATAAAGAATCCATTTCGAAGGTCGATGCAGGTTTTTGGCAGAATCTAATTCCTTGGGGTTGCAGGATTAAAGTCCTCATTTCCTTGCTGATATTAGACAGGGAAAGTCAATCTCAGCTCTTAGAAGCCACACTCTAATCCTTGCATTTGGTCCCCTCTATCTACCAGCCGCTCCGCGGGAGAAAGATGAGGCTTTCTACTCCCGTAAAGATTTACACCCTCGGAAACCCTGTACAGGGTCGCTATGGGTCGGAATCAACTCGACGGCACTTAACAACAACAACAATCTACAACGCCAGAGTCCTGGTATGGTGCTGCGGGTTAATGCGCCAGACTGCAAAGCTGTTTGTACTGCAAGGTCGGTGGTTCAAGCTCACCAACTGCTCCTCGAAAACCCTACACAGGGTCACTATGGGTTGGAACCGACTCGATGGCACTTAACAACAATCTATAGAGCCAGCAGTGGCATATCGAATTCTTTTTGTGCTTTAAAATGTTCAGACTTCCCTTCTGCTACTACCCAGAGAAAACTTTCTGCTTTAAAGGTCTCATGTGACTAAATCAGGCTCACCCTTATCTTAAAGTTAACTGGACCATATAACATAAGCACAGAAGTAAAATTTCATCACATTCACAGGTTCTGGGGATTACAGTAGGATATCTTCATGTTTCATTAGAAATTCTGCCTACCATAGTATTTATTCAACAGATGAGAAGAAATGGTCTCTTTTAGTGGAAAGAAAGTGGGAATAAACTACTTCCAAACAACCATTTACATCAATAAGGGAAGCCAAACATTTGAGATGAGAGAAGACTGACTTCATCCCAGGTATTCTACCCATAATGCTTCTGTCATTACTAAAGTGGCTCTTTGATAACAATATACAAACAGTGCCTTCAGGGAAAAGTTCAAAAATAAGGAAGGTTTAAGCAATCAAATTTTAAGGAATGCCTATGGACTGAAAGATCTTCCCATGTTTTAGTTTTCCTCATCAAACAATGAAAACACCAAGCTGTCCAGGACTGTATTCTAAGAATACATGTTAGAAAAGGCATGGTATTTTTAGATATGCCTTAATAAAATTTCATTGCTCAAAACTTGGGAAGTAAAACAATGTTCTCTACTCACCAGTGTGATGCTACTACTCTTCCTTTGCTTCAGAATTCAACTCAATTATTCCTTCATCTCATTTCCTTTAAATGAAGGCACAGGACTGTCTAGTACCTTGGTATTAACTCAAACTAAATCACTAATATTGTTCCTGTGCTTTCTCATCCTGATGACCTTGAGAAGGCCTCAAACTAATAAATCTACCCATGAAAGGGAGGCTGGAACAAGGCTCATTATTGCTGTTTAGCATTTAGATAATTTTCGAAGGGCATTATTTACTTCTAATTAGGATAGCACAAACCTATTGACACTCCTCCCCAGGCACTGAAGAAACATACTGACTCTTGAAGAGACAAGAACAAGAAGAGGGAATTAGCCCTGTCTTCAGCATCCCTGGATGCTCTCCCCAGATGTTTTATGGCCAGACTTTATAATACCAGAAAGAGAGAACCTACCTATAAAACTCAGAAATGAGAGAATCTACCTATAAGACTCCTTTAATAAGCTCTGAGTTCCATAGAGACTGAGAACAAAGCAAATTACACCTACTCCTCATTTATCAACGTTTGTTTCCAAGACCAGGTAGTTACGTGAAAAAGGAAGATGGCCACATCAGATCACAAAATGGAGGATGACTACATTATATAACTACTGGAGAATCATGGCCCACCCAAGTTGGCACATAATCTTAATGGTCACATCCAACATTATTTTCGCTTGATATCTCAGCATTCGCTACTGCCAAGTGTACATTGTTAATGTGCAAATTAGAGGGACAAGTAGATATTTTCTCTATTGTAGTTTACACAAAATGCCAGACAGCAAGACAGTTGTTAAGTGAGCGGTAGGTGTTTAATCAGTATACATTAAACTTTGATGGCATTATCCTTTCCAAATGCTCAAAGTACCTTTGTGTACATTTGAATGATCCATGGTAGGAAAATTAATGTTATTGTTAAGTGCTGTGGAGCTGGTTCCAATTCATAGCAATCCTAGGGTGGGTTTCCAAGGAGTGGTTGTTATGTTTGAACTGCCAACTTTGTGGTTGGCAGTTCAGTGTTTATCCTACACCACCACTCCAGGACTCCAGGAAAATTAGTATCTAGAAATTAATTTTCCAAGAAAGTGATAGGTTAGTAATCTGCCCAAGTCAGAGGTGGCTAGTGGTATAAAAGATTAGAACTAAAGTCTTTTGATTTCAAACCATGTGCTGTTTCTAAAACTACAAGGACAAGTAGAAAGATTACACACTATGTTTTTGTTAGGTGCTCGAGTCAGTTCTGACTCATAGACCCTATGCACAACAGAACATGATGCCCAGTCCTGTAGCATCTTCACAATCATTACGCTTGAGCCCATTGCTGCTGCCACTGTGTCAATCCATCTCCTTGGGGGAGTCTTCCTCTTTTTCACTGACCCTCCTTACATATCAATGGCACTTAACACCACCACCACAACTCAAATGCATCAATTCTTCTATGGTCTTTTTTTCATTGTCCAACTTCACATCCATATGAGGTTATTGAAAATACCATGGGGCTTCGATCAGGGGCACCTTAGTCCTCAAACTGGTATCTTTGTTCCTGAACACTTTGAAGAGGTCTTGTGTAGCAGATTTGCCTAATGCAGTATGTCATTTGATTTCTTAACTGCTGCTTCCATGAGTGTTGATAGTGAATCCAAGCAAAAATAAGTTTTTGACAACTTCAATCTTTTCACCATTTATCATGATGCTATTTATTGGTCCAGTGGTCAGGATTTTTGCTTTTTTGAAATTGAGGTGCAACCCATACTGGTCTTTGATCTTCATCAGTATTTTAAGTACTCTTTACTTGCTCCAATCCTGATGTCATTCACGTTCTTTATATAATCCAGCTTCTTGAATTTGCTCTGCATATAGATTAAATATGGTGAAAGAATACAACTCTAGTGCATGCCTTTCCTGATTTTAAACCACTCAGTGTCCCCTTGTTCTGTTACAATGCTGCTTAAAATTTGGAGGAATCTTCAGAAAATTACTCTTAGACCCTGTTTCTTTTTTAAAACATAGTAATCCTGTACCCTGTTGCCAGCAACTTGGGTTGTCAATAAATATCTCTTGGGGCCTGAGGCTAAAATGAACCAGGTTGCCTTGACTCCTCCTAAAGAAATTTGCTTCCAAGTTCTTACACCACCATCTCATCATTCACCTCAGAGAACAAAAACAAGTGGGTCACTCAGGGGTTAGGCTAACTTCAATTACAAAGAGGGCAAGAAAAATAAAATACAGATACCCGATGACTCACAGAGGATTCTACCAAGGTTAAAATTCAAGTTACAGAAGCAAAGGGAGGGCTCATCTCCAAATATGTCGGTACCTTCTACCAGCTCTTTGCTGGAGTAGACAGATAATCAGAACCTGATCTTGTAAGATACACTTGTTGCTGTTAAGTGCCACAGAGTCGGTTCCAACTCATAGCAACCCTGTATAGAATTTCCAAGGAGCAACTGGTTTAGTTTTGAACCACTTCCCTTGAGGTTTAAACCAACCTTGAAGTCCAATGCTTTATTCTACAGTGCCACACCAGCTCCACAATCCAAAATATAGTTACAAGGGTATAGAATAATAAGCTAGAAACAAACCTTTGATCACAATAGCAAAAGGGCAACAATGAACGATTTGGAGTTATTTCCTGGGGTTAAGCTCCTGACCTGAACTTTGTAGCTCAAGGTTTTACTGATGCTATACTCTAAATCTTGAGGCATTTTAAAGAGAAAATGTGTATTTTTATCCTTCCCTCATTGCTTGGGAAAATAAAATGATTCCAAGAACCAATGAGGCTTGGGGAGAGTCACATAAGACCAATTTTTGATACTTTGGACCCTGGCTCTAGTTCTAACTCTGCCAGTCAATGTTCTGTTCTTTCAAAGTCTATTTCCTTATTTATGGAGTGGGTTGGATTGGGTGATTAACTAAGTACTTGCTACATGAAATGCATCAACATACTTGTAGAGAAACAAAGATGAACATAACATAGTTCCTACTTCAAGAAACGAACAAGCTAATTAGCAAGATAAATCACATGCACACACATACAGATGCACAATTTATTGTAGGCCGAAAGTATTATTCAGGGAGACAAGGGCAAGGCTGAAGATATGGTATTGATAAGACAGCATGGAGAAAGAGTTTGAAAAATGACAAATAGTTCATTCTGGGTGCCGTATTTGGGAATAAAGGATTAAAGCTGTGAGTTGAGGTCACTGTTTTTGAACTGGTAAATGACAAGACCAGTCCTGTGCATAGAGGATTAGCCTATCACTTGTGGGTCAAAGGAAGTATTATGAGGAAGAGACTAGATGCAGAAGGTCAGTTAAGAGGTGACTGCTCAATAGACCAGGCAATGAAAGCCTGAGCCAGTATGGTGGCAGAGGAAATGGAGAGCTTAGTAGTCAACACCTTATTAACAGTAGTTAGTATTTCAAGTCAACCCTCTAAGTTGCTACTAGCCCAATCCTCAATACAAGCAGCACGCCATACCAGATAAAAATGCTAAAAATGATAAAAATGAGGGCTTTATTTGAATAAAGCTTTCCTTCCCTAAAGCAGAGAATAAGGAACAAGTGAACCCAAACCCATGTTGATTTAGAACCATCACTACCCTCCAGGTCTTGTACTCTCACCAAGGCACTTACTTAGCCAGCTGTGAAAAAGAAATATACATAGGACACTCAAAAAATATCTTATTTATATAGCATTTATTTACCTTCCCTCTGTCAAACCCTGAGTCAATTACTTTCCCCAGGCTGCCTGGGGAGGTACAAGGAAAGGAATATGTAGGGCAGACGAGACACGGAAAAAAAGAACTTGGGAAATGGAGACAACTCCTTCACATGGCGAAGAGGATGAGAAAGGCCACCATCAGACAAAAGAGCCCCATGGCCTCCGAGAGGGCAAAGCCCAGAATGGCGTAGGAGAAGAGCTGCTGCTTCAGAGAAGGGTTCCTGTGGGGCAGGAAGAACAGACTGAGTTTTTATCCATGTATACAAAAAGGACAAATATTTAAATGCAGGTTCAGCGAGATTCCCCTCCTAGAACTCATTTTATGTAATGAGCCTTTCAAGGTAATACCATCATGCCCAAATCTTTGCACTGCCATACCAAAGGATCTACAGAGAGTGAGTGAGGAACAGGAACAATCCATAATCCTTTAACATGGCCGGTATAACATTACCTCTTTTAGTAGATCAGCTATATCATCATCCCAAGTTAAGAGCCCTAGGCCTGACACTTCATATGCAGGGCCTAACATTTAGAATAGCAGGATATATTTAGAGCACTATTTTCAAACTTGAAGCAGAACTTCAACATATGAAACTTGAATAATTAAAAAAAAGTGGGGGACTTTAAAGGAGTCTGATGGATTTCCCCTCATTCTAAGATAGTCTTGAGGGAGAAGGCATCCTTACAATCCTAGGGTTTTATGGAACACAATTAAAAAACACTATTCTAGAGGACAAGAGGAGTCAGAGGACAGAACTATCTTCTTTCACGCCAAAAGAGTCAAAATATTTTGGGCCTTAAGAAGCTACAAATAACCTGGGGGAGTTGGTTACTAACAATGGGATAAGTGACTCCAACATCGAAAGTCAAAATATAATTTGTATTTCCCTCACTCCGACATCTCTGGAAGCCTGATGAGTAAGGTAAAGCACCACCAACTTCAGCAGTTGTCAACACAGATGCAGACAAGCTTCTTGTTTCATACAAATCCTGAAAAATATATCTACTCCTCCAATGACTTTAAGTAACTTGCTGGTCTCTAGAGAACTAATTTAGTTCTAACAATGAATTGCTCAAAGTCATCAGGGACCAAATGGTCCCAGGTTTCAGGGACCAGGGGGGCTGGCTGCAGAGGCAGCTGTCCCAGGAGTGACAGAAGGGAATTCCGGGGGACAGGGAAAAACAGCAGTGAAGTTACTATGCTGACTGATGTTGTGGACCAGAAATCACAAACTTTTTCTGTAAAAGACTAGAGAGTCAATATTTTAGGTTTTGTATGCATCTGAAGTTTCTGTTGTATAATTAAAAATCAAAACTAAACAAAATAAACCTCTAAAAACGTAAAGTTCGGATTGTACAAGTGTGCAAAAGCAGATTTGATTCTTGGGTCATAGTTTACCAACTCCTGTGCTAGACCAAAGCTGCTGAACAGAATTTTCTTTAGTGATTAAAAAAAAAAAAGTTTCTATTTACATATCCAATGGAATAGCCAATTTGTGGTTATTGAGCATTGGAAATGTGACTAATGTGACTGAGATACTAAAATCTTAAATTTTACCTAATTTCAAATATTTGCACTCAGACCTTCGGAAAGTCTATTTGAGGGACCACTTACCTGGCATAACCAATGATAAGGCTCCCAAACACAGTCCCAATCCCAGCTCCAGAGCCAGCCACTCCAACTGTGGCAGCCCCAGCCCCGATGAACTTGGCTGCTGTGTCAATGTCCCTTGAAATCGTGCTGGTTTGGAAATTTCGACTAGAAGTAAGTGAGGTTAGGGAACATGGGGCTGTCAAGCTGCTGGAGTGCTGTGAAGAAGAGGTAGATGGAAGGTATAGTGTTTAGGGAAATCTCTTGCTTTGGAAATTTTTTATCTATTTAAACCTTTTATACTGTCAGTGCCATAGTTTTCCCACCAAAATGAAGATCTATTACATCCTGTACAATTGAAAATGCTAGCAAGCAGAACTGCTTAATGCAAGAAGTGGATTTCAAATGTATGAAGATTCAGGTGGCTAGGCTGCTCTTAGTACATCAAGATCTTCCTGGGACAACATGCTCCCAACTGAAGTTAGCAAACTAGGTTGGGGAACAGTAGTTTTTAGCAGCACACATGGGCATGTGCTGCCAACAGCTAAAGCTGGTGCACTAGAGCAGATGTGGTTGGTATTAAGTGTCCTAAAGATGAGGCTTTCTGCTCCCGTAAAGATTTACAGCCTTGGAAACCCTATAAAGGGTCGCTATAAGTCAGAACTGACTCCAAGGCCCACATAACCACCACCATCACCACCACCTAAGGTCATTTTGGGCCTTTGATTAATGTTCTTAGCACTCCCCCTACTGGTTCTGGAAGGTAACCCTCCCCACTGCAGTCCAAACCACAGGCCCAACTACATCTATAACATACCTTATCTGTCAGTGTCTGGGGTTGTTTCAGTACCACTGCAGACAATGGTCGGTTCAGAAGCTGAGAAGTGCTCCTGACCTGGCAGGAATGACACAGGGCAGGAAGATCAGAGAAGGCTATGAATAGGAGTTTCAGAACCATGCCAAGTTATCACTTGCATCAACAGATAGGATCTTTCCTCTGATGCGTCTTCCACTCTCTTACACTTAAATCAATCTTAGATCATTTCTTCTTAATTTTAGCTAAGTCTAGATTTAAGAACAATGCCATTTTTCTTGCTTCCCTGGCTTGCCATGAGGGTTTACCCATGCTCAATGTACTCTTATCCAACCCACATGAAACTAAAGAAATCTAAGCCTCAGAAACATTTGGTTTGCTCAGCAGGACAAAAGAGATTTTGCTAAAGCCAGCACAAGGACTGGGGCAGAAAGAGACATTTTTCCCTAAACACAACTATATACACAAAGATTCACGCTTAAAAATTGCTGGTAGTGTTTTCTGACTCTGTTATTGTTGCTGTTAAGTGTACTTGAGTTGGTTTCAACTCATAGCGACCCTGTATAGGGTTTCCCAGGAACAGCTGAGTTTGAACCACCAACCTTGCAGTTCAAACTGACCTTGAAGTCCAGTGCATTATTCTACCATGCCAAAACCAGGACTCCTTTATGATTCTAAGCCAGACATAATAAAGGGCTTTCATCAAGTCAGATGGATCCATATTTAAAAAACAGCTCGATATAATCTGTGTTATCTCAGGACAAATGACTTGATCTCTTTAAGCCAGTTTCTTCATCTATCAATTAAGAATATTATTTCTTAGGGGCTGACTTGAGAGATCAATGAGATTATGTATTGGTAAAATCAGTGCCAGGCAAATGGTAAATGCTCAATAAATGGGATCTATCAAGTGCATCAATCCTTTTCATTTGTAAATTGATTAATCACCTGTCTCCACTATCTATTTCTTCCATGCTGCTGCTTTTGAGTTAGATATTTTTCCAGTATAAATCTATACTCATTTTAGCTTTTCAATCAAATTTCTCCTTTCTAACACTCAGGACAAGATCCTGCATATAGTGCGTATTCTGACCAAACTACATAATCTACTCCATGTTCACAAAGACTGAGTTCTAGTTTACTGAACACTTTATTGCAGGATAAGGGATAATCTTATCTTCATCTACATTTTCATACACTTTCCTTCTAAAATGGTTGGATGAGAGGAATTATTGGGCCTCCAAGGGATGTAGATTAAGAGGGTGTCTGTTAAGAATGCACTATCCTATCAGGCTACCACAGCAAAGGGCCATCCTTCTCCAAAATCTCTCACCTTGCCTGATGGCAAAATGTCCCTCCTTAAAGACTCCCCCAAAAGGCAGATACTCACCAGGGAAGGGGCGCAGATGAATTTGGTGCAGGTGAACATTTTCAGGGGATGAGGGGCTGTGGCAGGAAAGCTGGAATTAGAGAAGCAGTATTGTAAACACTATTCTTACAAAACTACAACTTCATCAGCAGAAAAGGTGCTCTGGAAATTTTAGTCCAGAGGGCAGAGTGACTTGCCTTAAGTCATCAGAAGAGATGAAATTAGAACCCTTAAATCATGATTTATTCCAGAAAATCCACACAGCTTCCAAGATTTCCTTATAATCAAATGACCTCTGCTTGTCAGAATAAGTGGCTACTTAGTCCCAGCCTCATAAATTTAAGTTTTCAGAGGAATTTTCCCAGAGTATCCTTTACCTAAGTTTTCTTAGTTCCTACTCAAAAGGAACCCTTTTCAACACTTCATTGTCTGGACCTTAAAAAACAACAACCACCATGCAATTTAAAAACTAGAGTCTTTATACTCTTGAGAGATTGTTAGAGGCCAAGACACTGGAAGGTCTCTAATATCTTTATACTGAATTACCTGGAAGTATTTTTTTGCTCAAAACACTTTTATCTCCTATATTAACTGACAGGATAGGGTACAGCTGTGAGAAAGTATGTCTTATTCTAGTCAGCAATGACTGTTAAATTATTTTGTATCCCCAATATCTAAAACTGTCCTGGCACCCAGTAAGTGACTAGGTTAGTAAAACTGAATTTGTCTGAGATAAGAGAGAGGGTAAGTTAAAGACCTTAAGGCAGGACTTCTTACAGTGAAGTGAGAGGGCCATGTGAACCAGGATTGTCTGGAGGTGTGAGTGGTACATGTATTAAAAATGCATATTCCTGGATCCCACCTTAGACCTTACTGGTCTTAAAAAGGCCCAAGGACCTGCATTTTAAACTTCCCAAATGATTTTTACATACACATAATTCTGAGAGTCAGTCTTGAAACTCTGGTAGAGATACTGCCAGAACTTGAATTCAGATATTTTCTCTTAAGTAACATGCTCTCTAACAAATAGGCTGAACTATTCAGCAGTTACTTTGGCCTGTTAAATACCATTTCCTTGAATAAGATGTATTCAAGACTGTCCCAGGTTACAACACTACTGAATCCAGAACCTAAGTTATTTTTAGATGAATATTTTCAACTTCTGTCCTGTCTACATCTCTAATTTCTGTACATATCTACATCAAATTCAATTTTGCTGTTAGATTATTCAGGCTTTCATTGGTCAAAATCTAAAACTTCTCAGAAGCTTTAAAAAAGGATGAATTTTTTTCCCCTCAAGACAATTAAACCTCAATATTCTTATTTGTAAAATGTGACTCTCAGGGGGACTGAAAGAGATTATATACAGAGTTTAAAGTGCTGTTGGCATGTAATAATCCCAAAGTAAGGGTGGCAATTAAGGAAGCCTGAGTGTGAGGTAGTACAGGAGGCCTGGTGGTGCAGTGGGTAAAATACTTTCAGCTGTTAACTTAAAGGTTAATAGCTGGAATCACCCGTTAGTTACTCCATGACTTCCATGCAGATTTGTTAAGTACTGTCGAGTCGATTCTGACCCATAGCAACCCTGTATAGGATTTCCAAGGAGCAGCTGGTGGGTTTGAACTGCCGACCTTGCGACTGACCTTGTAGGTCCATACAGATTTACAGCCTTGAAACCCTCATGGTCTAGTTCTCCTTGGTTCTATAATCACTATGAGTGAGAATCAACTAGATGGTAATGGGCTTATCTTTTTGGTTTGGTTTGGAGTGAGGTGCACTAGTCTGTAGTTATCATCTATCAACATCTTGGGTACTATGCAGAATCCGCTTTTAAACCATCATTGTTGTTGTTAAGTGCCGTCGAGTCGGTTCTGACCCATAGCGACCCTGTACAGGGTTTTCCGAGGCTGTAAATCTTTCCAGGAGCTGAAAGCCACATCTTTCTCCCGCGGAGCGGCTGGTAGTTTCGAACTTCTGGCCTTAAGGTTCGCAGCCCGATTCGTAACCACTACGCTACCAGAGCTCCTTTAAACCATCATAAACCTTCCCCAATTCAGCCGTTCCCTTGCTTAAATCTTTTCCTAAGAGTGGAGTCTGGGAAATTAATAAACCATTGATAGGAAAGCTGACAGGTGGGCAGTCTCCCATTCTGGTCCACCAGCTTGACCTTAAACCCGTTATTCTGGGCCTGTTGCCTCTAATGTAACCCTACTTCTCAAGCCTAACACCTGTGCATTTTTCCAACTTCACAAGAGTCCCTGGCATGGAAGAGAATGGTACTGGGAGATAACACCAGAGGGGCTCCCCCCAACCCCCCACCCCCCAAAAAAGGGCGGCCTCTCTTTTCTGCCTTAGAGCTCTCCCAGGCCACAGTTAGAAGGGAAGATGTTCTGGCTGTTTTGTTTACTTCTACAACATTCATGGTTTACATTTTAGATTGAGAACTGCTGACTCGAGGGATTATGGCTTTAGACGATCCACTATCTCTTTTGCTAGGGGCACCTGAGGTTCTGGGGCAGAAAAGTCTAGGCCGCAAAAAGCCTAAGAGTTGGGGAGACTTTGGCGATGTGACAATGAATGGGCAAGAAAGTGAGGAAAAAAACGTTGAGAGGGCTGATGTGTAACAGATGAAAATGAGCAATCGGGATTTGAGTTTCGCTGGCTCCAAGGCACCCTCCCCTGCCCCACCCCATGTGACAGACATCCAAAATGGCGCCACCCGGCGCGGTTGGAGGTCACCGGCACGCGGAAGGGGCAGCCCTAAGGAGTGGGGATACCGGGACCCAGAGAGGGAGCGAGAGCAGGGTGGGAACATGCAAGGTAAAGCCCTTAAAGCATTCGCGCGAGGTAGGGTGCTCCGCGCGCGTGCGCGGCGCAAAGCGGCCGGCGAGGCCCCAAGGCCTTACCTGCTCCAAGTGCAGAGAAGACAGAGAGGGGCGGGGCCGGGGAATACCGGAGGGAAGGCTCGGCGCATGCGCAGTCCAGACGAAAGAGTCACTCGACCAAAGATAGACTAAAGACTGAGGGCCAGCTCAGGAACAACAGCGCCGCCCGCCCGCTCGGTGGCTGCATCCGGCCAGTAGCTCCACCTGGCGTTTGAGAGGAAAAAATGCAGGCGGAGCCAATTGCTGCAGAGTTGGAATCCTGGAGTCGTGACTCTTTCCAAGCATATGCAGTTACATTGCCACCTATATATTGGGTTTCCAAGAGCGACTGGTAGGTTTGAGTTGCCTTCCTTGAGGTTAGCGCAGTTAATAGTCTATTGCTTATCCTACGCACACCCAGAAAACCGGTGTTAAATATTATAAAACCAGGTTTGAAATAGACTATCCAAAATATAACAGGAAAACGAAGCCATTGGATTCTTGCCTTCGGTCATCCCCCAGGACTATGGCATCGTTGAACAGGAAGTCCATTAAAATGGGTGAATATTAAGCAAAATGCGCCAGCAGCCTCTGGTGGCTTCTGCCTTTCCCCCCTCTTTTCCTTATTTCAGTGATCATTCATGAGGAAACCAGAATTGAGACCCAAGCACTGTCATCCTAAACCTTCTTTCCCTAAACTCTGGGGCACTCAAGAAATAACAGGTACCTGTAACCAGTGGTACCTGTGCAGAGAAGTTGCGAGGTCCCTGTACGCATGTCCAAGCCTGGGGCCAGGCCTCACCACCTACGGAGTCAGGAAAGTGTACCATAGCAAGCCCCCTTCCTTATCTTATTCCTCGTGCCCTTTCGCTTATCCTTTCCCTAATGGAAGTTGGTGGGGATCTTCCTGGACCACATGTCTTCCTCTAAACTTTGTCTCCCAGAACAGAGTCTTTGGAAAGAAGAGGGAAAGCAAGGCCTACCCAGTTCCCCATCGTGTCCAAACCCCAGCCGTCTGGGCATCGTGCTTGAAAGGAAGCAGGAGAAAGACGGGAAAAGCTCACTAAACCCCCATAAAAAAAATTAAATAAATAAATAAAAAGAAAGCCGCGGCTGTAAATAAAGCCAAATCCGCCACCCTCTGAGGGGCCGTTTGTCCTCCCCTCCTTGGCCCCGTCCTTCCCGCCGCCCCCTCCCGGTTCCCGGGCCCCGCGGCGCCCCGGCCCCTAGCTCCTCCATTTAATCGGATTTGGGAGAAGGGGAGGATAAATCACGGCAGCAGCTTTACGGTCCCGGAGGAGAGGCGAGCCGCAGCCAGGCACACCCCGGCCGACGATAAAAACCGCCGCTGAAAGCCCACGGAGCAATTTCCCGGGACCCCGAGCGACGCCATTACAGGAATGTAATTTTGCCCGGATGAGGCCCTGAGTTTAATTATCCTCGCGGAGGAATTTCAATGCGGCCAATCCATCTTGCAGGCGGGCGGCAGAGGGATTTATATGGGCCCGTTATTTCACACCGATCCTCCATCTGCATTTTTATGGCCCTGAGCTCCTGAAAGGGAGGGTTAGGGGTGGGTAGAAATAGAACCAGGAGAGGAGAGAAGATGGGGGGACTTCCTCCTTTTCCTAAATTCAAGGTTTCAGCTCCAGTTTGGATTTTCACAGGTTCCCCTGAAATCCTCAAATCTCTCAAGGTTCCTTTTGTTGACTGGGGGCTGAGGAGTTTGAGGAATGAAGCTTGAATCCTTGGGAATCAATCAACAGGTATTTACCAAGTAGTGGAGTCCTGGTGTGGCGCTGGACTTCAAAGTCGGTTTGAACTGAAAGGTCGGCCGTTCAAGCTCACTAACTCCTCCTCGGGAACCCTGTACAGGGTCGCTATGGGTCGGAACCGACTCGATGGCACTTACAACAACAAATGGTCCCAGGCACTGTGTAAGATGCTGTGAGGAAGATGGGAAGGCAGGTTAACAAGGGACTTTAATTTCCTGAGGTTCCCAGACACCCTCACTCTCATCCATACTGAATTCCCTCAAGCTATTAGCTTACTTCCACTGAGGAAAAAAGTCTACAGTTCTTAGGAGCCGCCACCACAAAACGGTGTTGCAGTCGTTTGCCGTTTGTTGCCTGACAACTAAAATTTTGTGCAGCTGTCGCTAACAATCCCATAGGAGCATTGAAGACGAGGAAGCTAAAGCTGGCTCCTCCCAAAAGTTGTTACAGCCTGCAATATTTCTCCGCCTTACGGTGGTGGGCTCCAGATTTAGACACACATGGACCTCCTAATTCGCTTGTGTCCTTAGCAAGCTGTTACCCTTCCACCCGTTGATTTCTTCTTATGTAAATTGGAACAATAATAATGTTTATGCCCGGGTGAATATTGAAATAACAGCAAAATACCCAATAAACAAAAGACCAGACTCATTGGCACCAAGTCGATTTCGACTCATAGTGACCCTGGTGGTGGCGGTTGTAATGTGTCGTGGAGTCGGTTCCAACTCATAGCTGCCCTGTATAGGGTTTCCACGTATAGGTTTTAAATCTTTACGGGAGCAGAAAGCCTCCTCTTTCTCCCGCGGAAACGCTGGTAGTTTTGAACTGCTGACCTTGAGATTAGCAGCCCGACTGGTAACCACTAGAAGGATACAGAGGACAAAGTAGAATTGCCCCATAGAGTCTCCAAGACTGCAATCTTGGGGAAGCCGATTGCCACTTCTTTCTCCCCCATAACAGCTTCCAACTGCCAACCTGTCAATTTGCGACCTAGCTGCTAACCCACTGTGCCACTAGGGCTTCTTGATACCCAATAAGGCAGACAATAAACGCTGGCAGTCATTATTACTGGGACACTGTAACAATTCTGCATTGCTCCCTAGCGACTGTTCCTAGTAAGTTCCCTGAAAGGATCTCTCCAGAAACAGACTCAACTACCACTTACTAAACTTATTCACCTACATAAATTATGCAAAACAAGTTACTTGACAAGTTTGAGGGTGAAGATCTATGGGGAGGGCTGAGAATGCTAGGGACTTGCTACAAAGTCTGAAGCAAGGTATTAAATCAGGAGGGGTGCAATGAGACAACAAAATGTGGACTGAGATATGTGAGGGATGGGTGAATTTGGAAATAACAAAAATGATCCAAGAGAAGATTAAGCTGAGAGTCTAGGGACCTTTCTAACCACGATCTTGGGGATTAATGTTTCCTTCATTTCAGTGAGGAAAAGCTTATGCCAGTAAGGAAAGGGTGTAGAGACAGCTATCCTTTCCAATCAATCTCTTTCTTTTCCTACCGGACCATGTAACAAGGTTGGCCTGATTGGTCAGTTTTTCTAATGACTGCTAGTGGCAGATTCTGACTGGTTAGCAGCCTCCCTGCACAGTGATGACGAAAAAAATGAGATTGATCTTTTCTTTCTCAGGATTGGTTAACAACACTCCTTGGGGAGGGGAGGCAGAGACACAATTTTAATTGACTGGGTGGGCTAGGAGGGAGGTCCACCGTCTTCCACATATAAATTGAGTATTCTTTTCTACAAAGGTCAACAGGAAATAATCTTGATTGCCTTGTGCATGTTTGCCTTTGGACAGGAAACACAGTAGCTCAGAGAAGAGAAATCAAGAGAATCATGCAGGCATACCACAGTTCAATTTGAAACCCCAAATAGAGAAATTTAAGATAGATAAGAAGAGAAACAAAAATGCAAGGAAGAAAAAAAAAAAAAAAAAGCCCAACAGATGAGGAAGGGTTTAAATTAAATTATTTAGCATTCCTTATGGAGTCCTATGGAGTTCTAGAGTTCTAAAGGAGCTCTGGTAGCGTAGTGGTTACGAATCAGACTGCAAACCACAAGGTCAGTAGTTCGAAACTACCAGCTGTTCCGCGGGAGAATGATGAGGCTTTCTGCTCCTGTAAAGATGTACAGCCTCGGAAACCCTGTACAGGGTCGCTATGAGTCGGAACCGACTCCACCGCACACAGCAACAACAACATGGAGTCCTAAGGAGCTCTGGTAGCCTAGTGGTTACGAATTGGGCTGCTAATGTCAAGATCGGCAGTTCGAAACTACCAGCCGTGGCCTCGGAAACCCTGTATAGGGTCACTATGAGTTGGAACCGACTCCATGGCACATAACAACAACAACAAATCGAGTCCTGGTGTGGTGCTGCAGGATAATGCTGTGGACTGCACGGTCAGTTTGAACCACAAGGTTGATGGTTTAAACCCACCAGCCCCTCCTTGGAAACCCAATACAGGGTCGCTATGGGTCTGAACTGATTCGATGGCCCTTAAAACCACAACATGGCTTAAGAAGGACTTCTGGTGTGATGCTGTAGCATCAGCATTGGACTGTGAATCACAAGGTTGGCAGTTCAAACCCACCAACTGCTTCTCAGAAACCTTATCCAGGGTCACTATGAGTCAGAACCACCTTGAAGGTACTTAACAACAAGGAGTAAGAGAAGGAGCTTTAATGGCACAGTGCTTAAGCAGTTCGGCTGCTAACAAAGGCTGGAGGTTCAAATGCTTTAGCTGCTTCACAGGAGAAAAATGTTTCCAAAGAGATAACAGCCTCAGTAATTCTATGGGGCAGTTCTACTCTGTCCTGCAGCAGGGTCACTAAAAGTCTAAATTGACTCCATAGCACACTGGGTTTGGTGGTGGTTGTTTTTAATGGCTTAAGATGAGATACTTTATAATGCAATTTTGCTAGATGCTATGTTGCCAGCATATGGCATGGAAAGAACAGTTGTCTTGGAGGTAGGAGACCAAGAGTCTAGTGTCAACCCTGCTATTAACTAGCTCAAGTTTTCTCATTTGGAAAAATCAACCAGTGATAGAAGTAGGTGATCTCTAAGGTTTCTTCCAGTGTTAACTTTCCAGGATTCTCTTTCTGCTAGCTGACAATTTTATATAAGTTGAAGTGCTACCTTTGTATTTCCAATAAGAACTATTTTTCTGTCTTGAAATTTATTTGTAATATAAGTTGAAGTGCTACCTTTGTATTTCCAATAAGAACTCTTTTTCTGTCTTGAAATTTATTTGTAATTGTCAATTTCAAGCTCCTGGGGCTGTGATTGATTGGTGGGCACTGACAGATGGA